GACGTCGTGTTAAAAAGACATTTCACGTTCAAGCTGATCAACTTTGTTTTGAGAAAACAGGCAGAAACACCACCTGCTTCCCTGGGCCGCGGCTCATCGACGATGGACCGAGGCCAAGCGGAAAAGTGTTCTGTGGTCTGACGAGCCCCTATTTCTAATCGTTTGCGGAAACCGTGCAGGTCGCGTCCTCCGGACCAAAGAGCAAAAGCCAGTGTCCGTCTCTTCATCTTAGCAATCGGTCTGCCTCGCGTCGGACCGAAGCTTCATCTCACCTGCATCGGGGAGCTCCGCCCCTCCAGCTTAACACTGCAGGGGAACTGGGGCGGTTCATCCGGGAAGAAGTGGGAGAAGTTCTGCTCAGCCAGCCGGTACTTCACCACGCTGGATGCCTGCCGGACGCAGAGGGAGTCGGGTCAGAGGAAGCGAAGCCTTGCGGGCGACGCGGCGGCGAGCTCGGCACCTTGAGCCGAATGATCCCGTCGGCGGGCTCGCAGTGCTGCTTGAGCAGCAGCTTCAGGCGCTCGCGGGACATCACGTTTTTCCTGCGACTGAACACGACATAGGCACTGCGTCACGGTCCCGCCCGCTCCGCACCTTTGATCCAAATAGCGGCACGTGGGGTGTGCGTCACCTGATCTGATTGGCTCGGACGACGAACGGCTCGCTGTGCTCCTCTGTCATGATCCTCACCTCGTACTTGAACGCCGACGGGCTCAGAGGCTTCTTCCTCTTTCTGTTTACACACACACACACAGTCATGTGACATACACATCCACAAGTGACACAATCACTGCCCTCGAGTTTGGTCTGCAAAACCTTTTGAGATGGCCGACTAAAGTAAGCCAGTTTGTTTTTTTCCCCCTCGACTCCTCTTTGAAACTAGTCATGCAACATAAAAATAAGGGCTTGACCAAAATGGCTATTTTGAGGTTGAATATATTTTTTTTACGCACACACACACACACACACACACACACACACACACACAAACACACACACACACACACACACAAACACACACAAACACGAATATATTTTTTTTACGCACACACACACACACACACACACACACACATCCAACATAAAAAAAAATTGGGGTCCCTTAAGACTTGGAAAAAAACCATGAACATTTGACTGTTTCCCCCAACACTTAACGCTGGAGTTTTTTTTTTAAGTTTATAAAGTAGGATTGTTTAAATACAAAAACAGGCACAAATAAAAGCATCATTCTGCATGGCATATCACTTTGGATGACTACATCGAAAAATATTTGCCGTTTCAAGAGAAACGAAGCATATTAAAGAGCATTTATGATGAATTATTGAAACGCTCAGGCCCCAAAAGAAAAAAAATAACGGGAGTGATTCTTGGCCGACGGTTATCGCAAGTTATAAACACGCCAGCGGTGAGAACAGGTTGGACGACTTTGACTTTGCAAGATAAACTTTGACCTGCCGGGACTCCGAAAGGCGGCGGCGGCTTCATCATCATCGCTGTCGCTGATGACGATGATGTTGCTGTTAGCTGACTTTTGTCCATTGGAAGCCGGCGCTCCGTTTGTGCTGGAATGCGGCGAGTGCACCTGAAGGATCTCGCACGTGTGCCTAAAAACACACACACACACACACAAGCATTTGTTGCACAGGTGAAGCAAATAGTTTGACAATTCTACGCATTATCCCTGGTGAGTGATAGGAGGGTCCACAAATAGGAAAGTGTCGATTTGGCAACGGTGAGCTCAGGTTAGCGGTTAGCTGCAACATGGCTAACTGTTCTGCTCTGCAGGAGACAAATTGCACCTGACAACATCCTTAAAATGACATGAAAGGAACGGCTGTCTTCGCCAACCCTTATTTATTTGTTTTAATTGAATTATTTGAGCCATCTTTGCAGCTCCAATTCAACCAAACATACATGCACCTTTCAATCAGGCAGCCGTGAACCCGAGAGACTGAATCGGGCGCAAAATGTTGTCTACGCAGTTGGCTTGGGTCTCCCTACGTCAAGAACCGACTGTTGTACCTTGCCCCATTGCGTCCGCTGACGTCGACCGTCTCGCCAGGGAAGAAGCGCTCTTTGGCGAAGGCGTAGATGTCCTCGCAGAGCTCGCTCAGGCGGCCGCGGAGGCCGAGCGCCGCCAGGTGCAGCAGCGGCCGCACCAGGGCGGACGGAAAGCTCCGGAGGCTCTGCTTGGCCCGCCGTTCGCTCTCGACCGCCTCCAGATAGGTGAGGCCCGCTCGGCCCGTCAGGGAGCAGCTCCACACCAGGCTGTTGCAAAGGATGGTCCTCTCGAAAAATTCACTGAGGGCAAGATGATAGATTCATTCAACATCTTTCAAAGGCGGACCCAAAGACAATCAACGAGTTTACGAAACAAAAACGGGGCAGTTATGTCCAGGTAGCAGTACACGCACGCATTTTAGGAGGGAGACACTTTCATGTGGACACAATCGATATTTGCGCGGGGTTCAACGTGACATCAGCCGCATACACAGGATTGATTATTTTCACGGGTGTGATTCATTCCATCATTGATTTGGTCACATGACAACTCCCAGCGACTACCAAGTTGCCAAAATGACAAACAACAGGGGGACAAACTAATATGAAGGAAGAACATCATGTGAGCGCATCACTCAAGTGGAAGGGGCCGTACCCAAGGCTACGCGTCACCAAAGTCGTCGTCGGTCGGTCGGTCTTAAGCTCCTTCTCGTATCCCGGTTCCACACCAAAGCAGCCTTGTTCCACTGTGAATGGTTGCTTCTCCGTGATCATTTTGGGGGGGCCGTGTCGTTGGTTGCAACGTAACCGCCCTTTTAGGAGCCATTCAGCTCTTCGTCGACTGTCCAAGTTTTCTTTTTTAATGGCCAGGGAAGAGGCATGACATTTTAGTCGTGCGAGGGTTGCAACAGTGCAGCACTGACATTCCTGTCACCAACATCTTGTTAGTCTGCCCGTCAGTCCCTTTTAGTCGTCAGTCGCTTGCTTGCTTTTAGTTATCGCATGGTGACTTTCGTCAACCAAGTCATCTTTTAGAAAGCTGCCTTGGTTGTCACTGGGCCACTCAGGTTAGCAGTCGGGTGGTCGCTCTTGGCAATCGGGTAATTTTAGTCATCTGTCCATCTTGGGTTGACCGATTTGGTACTCAGCCAGTTTGGTAGTCAAACATAAAACTCCATATTAGAGCATGTAGCTTCAGGGTTTTTTGTTTTGTTTGCCATCAAATGAAGAACACGAGTGTTTACTCGTTCACTCACTCACTCAGTCAACCAATAAAGTTACAATGAAGTCTGTCTTCTTCCCCTTTAAGAAGGGAACGTCTCGACCGGGCTTGGCCTGTTAGCAGCTTAGCGGCTAAAAGTAGCTAACAAGTGACAGCTAAGAGCTCAGCTAACTCGGCTAACAATACACCTGCCATAAATAAAGTGTTTCTGGGTAAACGTAAACACATAGAAATCATATAAACTCTTGCATCGTTGTGATTAAAGTACTTTTATATCAGTTTATCGCGAGCTAGTGAGTGGGACCAACATGCAGTGACGTCACGCCACCGGGCTCAGGTGATGTTGGTGGCGCTGAATGATGATGGCGGCCGGCCGGCCGGCCAGGTGAGACTCACTCGTAACTGCGAAATATTTCATTCGTGATGCGGCAAAGGAAGACCTCCTCATCGGGGCGCAGGTCGACCGGAGGCTCCTGGCGGACGAAGACTTTCCTGTGAAGGAGCGGCATCTCGGGCGGCCGCTCTAGAACGAACAAAAAAAAAAGGAGAGAGAGAGGCGATCAGCACGGCCGAAACTCGAGGCACAGGCTCCGGTGTGGTCTAATGCGCCCGGCCTGCTGAGAGCATCTCAGCGGCTCTTTTGTTGAGACACGCTAAGTAGGCGGCCGCGTGGAGATGAGCCTTGTGAGGCTTCGCTCTTGTTTGAGAGTGAACCAATTGAGCTCCCCGGCACTGGACTCACCTGTTCGGGCTCGGTGTAGCAGCGAAGGTTGGGTTATGTCGCACCTCTTCGCCGAAAGTGTCTTGTGTGTGAGTGCGCCTTTGTTGCGACGCCAACTAATCCGCGACGCGTAGCAACCAACTGTCCCGGGTCGAGCGGGCTGACTGGCGGCTTGTTGACCAAGTTTTTATCCACTTTACGTACCGGAGCAAAGCTCGGAAATGTCTGTGTCGTAATGCTAGGCTGGGTCGAGTGGCCCGTTAGGTGACGCCCAAACGTCTCTTTGAATGAAAGCAGCAACGCTACTGACGGCACGAATTGTCACGCTTTAGATCACATCTACGGAAGACATTTTACCACCGGTACGCGACCATCAGTGCACAGGCGAGTGCGCCTCTTGAACTGTATTTGAAACCTCGTCGACTTTAAAACGTCCACCTTTGTTCGACTGCCATTAAACCGAATACTTTGCGTAACTGTCACTGTTCACACGCACCGAAATGACTTCAGTATACCGATTCATGGACGGATAGATCGACTATCGATGAATAAACATCGTTTATTTCAAAAGTGTCCCGGTCTCCGAGGTGATAGGCGTCTCCTGAACCCGCCACACGGAGTGAATTAATAGGCGGAGCCGAACCGCGATTGGCTGGGCGTGCTGCCACCAGCCAATGGTTGCTCGCGCAACCGCGCCGCTTCCTGACGGCCAACCACGGTGAAGAAGCCGGGTTATGACGTCAAAACGGCGAAAAGAGACGCGCGTTGCGCAAAAAAATGAAGTAATGGTTCATATGACATTTAGATATCAGCTTTAAAACTCGTCTTAAAACTCATTTTGATTCTTCGGCTTTTGTCTCAGCATGAGACTTGATTTTAGTTTGTGCTTTTTAATGTCTTTGTTATTAATTAGTATGATCATTTCTTGTAGGACTTATTTTTGTTCCACGTACAGCACTTTGTATACAGCGGCGGTTGTTTTCAAGTGCTCGAGAAATACAGCTGAGTTGAATAGATCAAAACAGCCTAGATAAGTGTGTGCGCATTAAGCCATATTTTTTAGACTATGTAAGATATAAATCTGGTTTACTGGTTCTCAAATATACACAAGTGCAAAAAAAATAAATAAACCACCAAGTACAACAATTATGACCAAAGTCAAAACATCCATCCATCCATTTTCCAATCCGCTTATCCTCACTCAGGTCGCAGGGGGTGATGGAGCCTATCCCAGCTCATCATCCACGCTCACACTCACACCTAGGGACAATTAGGAGTGTTCAACCAGCCTGCCGTGCATGTTTTTGGAATGTGAGAGGAAACCGGAGTACCCGGAGAAAATCCACGCAGGAGAACATGCAAACTCAACACAGGGAGGCCGGAGCTGGAATTGAACCCGGTACCTCTGCACTGTGAGGTCGACGTGCTTACCACTGGCCCACCGGGCCGCCCAACGTCAAAACAGAGTAGCAAAAATGTGGTTGTTTTGGATGAGGCCTGGAATGATTGAATGGCATTTGCATTCATTTCAGTCCGTTTTGAGGATACCAGCAGAGTCACATGGCTCATGTTCAAGTCTTATCTCAAGGCACCGCTGTCTGGAGCCACGTCCTCACTCTCTCCTCAGCAGGTCCTCGGATGCTGCGCGTCATTTCAGTGGTCCGTGATCAAGATTCGAGTCAAGTAACAAACCTCAACATTTTCATGATTTTAGCAGGCGTCACGATCAACATTGGTATTATTTTTTTTCCGGATTTACTTGACAAGCACACACTTGAGAAAACAGTCCAGGTCATAAGACCCTGTACAGGTGGATCTGTCGCAGATCCTCAGGGTCGGCGTCTTTACCCACATATACGTGGTAGTCCAAAGGAAGCTCCTCCACCCAGCCGGCCGGCAGCGGCTCCTGATGGCCCAAAACAGGAAGCGCGGAAAAGAATCAATGCTGCAAATGCTTGGGGGG